TCAAATCATTTCGGGTTCTAGCATTAATGCAATGCTTCCGCATACGCCAGGTGCTTTATAAGACTCATCTTGTATCGGCTGCCTGCACAGGCAATCGCAAATCCCCAGCTCTTACACCGAAGAGGGAAGACACATTTACCCAGGTTATCCAACTATATTTTAACTTGACTTTATTATGCAAGGTGTAATGACCCTGCTTTCCTGGCTGCGGGGTAACACGAGAATTGTGGATTATATTTCAGAATTTAAACTGCGCTGGTCCTGAACATACCTGGGAGAGATGGATAGGGAAGATCATCTTCAGATCATAAACTGTTTTGCAAGTCGGCCAGCGTCTCCTATTGACATGCTGTGGAGTGCTTACCTCCTATCAGACAAGGTTCTTGGGGTAAATCTGGTATCTTTTATTAGACCAACTCACATAGTTGGAAACATTATTCTCTGCAAGCTTGCACCAAGCACTCATAGTCATCACTGATCTTTAGAAACGAAGGTGTCACCAGCCTTCCTCTATCAAAATTAGTTTTTAAAATGGCTGAATCTTTCAATGGACTTCCAATGGTTTTAATGGGATTTTGAAAATCCCAGCCTTTTTTTTTTTTTGGAGAGAGAGAGAAAGAGAGAGATCACTAAGGGGTCAAGAGGTTGAATTAAATTCCTTCTTTCATGGTTGTGCGCTATAACAACCTTGCCCACTTTAGTAAAAATAAAGAAATAAATTAAAACATGCTTGTGAAAATTAGACAGGGGACAGGATCTTTCTGGCCTCTGTTCAAATACATCAACTGCAGGCATCCTTCGGAAGGGCAGAATCTGCACACTATCCCTGAGCCAGACAAAGGATGTATATTTGTTTCAGAAATGCAAGCCTCTCAAACTCTTGGTTCAGAGATGACACCTTTTATTAGCTCAACTAAGAGATCACAGCAACAACTAACAACAAAGATCTTTTCATGCAAGCTTTTGCGCCCTGCCCGTCCTCAGGCTCAGGGAAAATGAAAGATGGTAAAAAGTCCCCCTGGGTAAAAATCAACTTCATTTTTGCAGAGAGGGAGCTGAAGGTGGAATTCAAGCCGTGGTGACAATGTCATTTGGAACCCATGTTCCTCAGTGACAAGATATTTCTATTTCTTTTTAACCTGTGGCAACAGCAGGATTAACTATTCCAGGCAACTGGGAAACTCATTATAGCACTGTTATTTTTTAATACTGGAAACCTGTGGGATGTTTGTTGAAGCAATTCAATATTAAGCTGTCCCCTTCTAGGTAACCCTCCTCTAGCACTGGACTGAAGGTGCTGGGCTTTTCCCAACAGGTGAGAAAGCACTACCCACTGGTGCTTTTCATCACCTCCTTGACTAGAGAAGGATTCCCCCAAATGGGCATCAGCAGAGGGTGTTCCTGGGAGAGGTTGGCAAGGGGCTTGGGGGAAATCTGGCATCTTTTATTCGACCAAGTCAAATAGCTGGAAGACTTCTTTTAAAGTTTTCCCCATCTCTGCCCGGCTGAGGAAGCCTCAGGGGTGGGTTTGCTTTGAAGAGGCAGTTTCTGAAGGAGAGGGTGGGTGGGAGCCGGGGGGAAAAGCCGCTGAACCCACCCCATCTCTGCGAGGGTTTATACCATCAGGGAGCTCAGAGGCGACGCCACAGCTCTCTTCTCTCCTGCTAGGAAAAGCAATTATCTTTATGGATGATGAATCACTCCGTCCAATCCCGCCTTCCAGCGTGTGTCCCTTCTCGCACCACTAGCTTTAATTGTTTTAATTTGACCTTTCCTACTTGCTTGCCCTCACCCCGCGCACGCCACGAGCAGGC